TGAGATAAAGAGAAAATGAAGTAGAGAGTGCTGGGTGGCTCCATTTCTAATAAGGGGATAAGAAAGGCCTTCCTGGGCAGATGCCATTTGAGTGAAAACCTGGCAGAGAAGAGGGAGCACGTCACCAGGATATTAGGGAAGTTTTGCAGAAAATGAGTGGTCATTAGCAATCTCTTACTATTGCTCATCAGGCTCCTTTTGGGGCCCCTCCTATTATTTCCAGCTTCCAAAGGTGGGGACACCAGTTGTCCTAGGATGCAGCCCTGATCTGTCATTCATGCCCCTCCCAGCATGATCTGATTCAGTCCTGTGGCTTTAAAAACCGCCCGTATCTCATTCACTCCAAGATTTCCGCCTCCAGCCTTGACATTGCCACTGAGCTCCGGACACACAGAGCCAGCTGCTTACTTAACACCTCTACGTGGATGTCTAAAAGGTCCCTTAATCTTAACTTGTTCAAAACAGAAGGCTTGACTTTCCTCCCCAAACCCTGCTTCTCCTCTGATCTTCCCCACGTCAGCTACTAACATCGCCATCTGCTCAGTTATCAAAGCCAAAACCTAGAAGCTGTCCTCAACTTCTCTTTTCTTCACAGTTCACATCCAATCCGTCAACAAGTTCTAACAACTCCACCTCTGAACTGTATCTTGAGTATGACCTTCTCTCGATCCCAGCCACCACCTCCCAGACCAAGCCTTATCACTTCTCCTCTGAAATGCAACCAAGGTCACCTGATTGATCTCTCTGCTTCCGCCTCTGCCCTTCTTAGATCTATTATTACCACGGGAGCCAGAGTAATCGGGAGCCAGAGTAATCGGTTTAAAAAGTCAGATCATATCACTTGCCACATTAAAGCAATCCAGCAACTTTCCCTTTCACAAGACTCCCATCCAACTCCTTAGCTTTGCTACCAGGTCCTTGTGGCGGGCCCGCCCCCTCTCCTGCCTTCCTCTCTCCCTGCTCCCTCGACCCACACTATGCTCCGCCTTCTTTCTGCTGTCTGTTTCCCACGGATGCCTCAGGATGCCCCCGGGGCCTCTCAGGCCCTTTAACAAGGCTCACTCTCTCCTGCCTTAGTCCTTTGACACTAGTTGCTGCCTCGGACTGAAACATTCTTGTCCTGGGCGTTCTGGGAGCTGGCTGCTTCTTACCACTCAGGTTTCAGATGGAGCAGCCCCTCACCAGACAAACCTTCTCCAACCTCTTGAAACAAATACCCATGCTATCTCCTTCTTGGCTATTTCTTTCCTGACATTTATTACTATCAGATTGCTTCTTGTTTATTTATGTTTATTGCTGGTTCCCCATGCACGTACGCACACACTAGTGGAAGCACCATGAAAGGTCCTTGTTTGTTTTATCCACTGAAGTAGCTCAGGACCTAGACAGGGGTCCTCAAACTACGGCCCGCGGGCCACATGCAAATACAAATATTGTATTTGTTCCCGTTTTGTTTTTTTACTTTAAAATAAGATATGTGCAGTGTGCATAGGAATTTATTCATAGTTTTTTTTAAAACTATAGTCCGGCCCTCCAACGGTCTGAGGGACAGTGAACTGGCCCCCTGTTTAAAAAGTTTGAGGACCCCTAGAACAATGCCTGGCAATTAGGCATTCACTAGATCAGCGGTTCTCAGCCTGTGGGTAGAAACCCCTTTGGGGATCGAATGACCCTTTTATAGGGGTGGCCTAAGACCATCAGAAAACACATATATAATTACATATTGCTTTTGTGATTAATCACTATGCTTTAATTATGTTCAATTTGTAATAATGAAAATACATCCTGCATGTGATATTTACATTATGATTCATGACAGTAGCAAAATTACAGTTGTGAAGTAGCAAAGAAAATAATTTTATGGTTGGGGGTCACCACGACATGAGGAACTGTATTAAAGGGTTGCGGCATTAAGAAGGTTGAGAACCACTGCCCCGGATCGTGGCTGGCTGGATGAATGATTAGCATCTGATAAAAAGAGCTGCTATCTGTCATTACCATCTCCCTGTGAAGGAAGGGAGGCTTAAGTTAGAAGAGGTGGAGGCAGGCTAGCTCAGTGGCTAAGACGTAAACTCGGGAGTCAGACTGCTTGGGTTTAAATCATGGGTCCACCAGGACTATCCCCCCCAGTCTCAGTTCCCTTCTCTTCAAAGTGGAGATTTGGTGCTCTATTCATACAATGGAATATTACTCAGCCACAAAAAGAAATGAAGTACTGACGCCTGCTGCAACGTAGATGAACCTCAAAAACATCATGCTAAATGGCCAGAGCCAGGCACAAAAGGCCACATATTGTACATCGTGTTAATATGAAATAGCCGAAACAGGTAAATCCACAGGTACAGGAAGCAGATTTCTAGAAATGGGGGCGGGGGGGGGTGCTGGGCAGTAACTTCTCAATGGGCATGAGGTTTCCTTTGGGGATGATGAAAATGTTTGGAACTAGATAGAAACGGTGGTTGCACCACATTGTGAATGTGCTAAATACCACTAAACTGTTTACTCTAAGTGGTCAACTTTAGTGATGTGAATTTTACCTCAACTAAAAAAATGGGGGATTTTAACAATGGTCCCTACTGCACCGGGACATCTTGAGGATTAAAAGAGGTGATGCTGCCAAGTACATCATGAGGTACCTGACATTTACCAAACAATTAAGAAATTTTACCACTCGGTAGTTATTTTAAATAGACATAGCTTTGTGAAACATCATATCATTTTCTTTTCTTGTTTCACATTTTACTATGGTAAAGTTTAACTGGAAACTTTATCATGGATTTGCCTCAGCCCACGAACCAGAATTTGAGAACCACTGAGATAAACATTTTGAGAAACAGAATCACCTTTTGTGAAAGGCCCATTTTTCGAGCCATCCTCACGCATTTAGTAAAGTGCAGATACAAAGCGGGGAGCGTGTGGCAGCAGTGCTGTGCCGAGATGGACAGGAGCCCAGGGCAGGTGGGTAAATGTGAGCCATTCAGCTTTTCTCACTAAAGTGAGAACGGCAACACATACACACACCCCCAAACAAGCAGCAACAAGCATGACAGCAGGAAAAGCACTGTATTACCTGATCAGGAAAAATGTGTCAACCCCGAGATAGAATGGGCCACTCCGGGAGTAAAGGTAGAGCGGGTTTTTAAGCACTCTGGCTTTCCATTCAAGCACGTTATCTGTAACAATCATAAAAAACAGTGCCTATTCGTTCAATAGGAAAAAAAAATCATGTGATTTATCTTTTCAGAAAAACCAGGAGAAACACATTCAACTTTCAGTTGTATCGGGAGGGTGTCATGTATCCCCATAATTCACTTACGAGGGGATCTTCGAACAAAAAGAAAAGGGAGGAGACGGAGGTGCCTCGTTGTAGCTAAGGCATTGCGCGCCTCTGTGCTCTCAGTGGCCTCAGCCCCCTTAGGACTACAGCAGCATCACACCCCCTTCAGCTGCCCCCCCAACTCTGATGCATGCCTCTGGTCCCCGGGGAGACAGTGCCACTGGGAGTGCTTGATGGGAGTGCTTTGGGAGTGTAGCACCGGGGAAAGGTCGAGAAACATTGACTTTACTAATGCACAGAACTTATCTATGCTTGCCTGTTTTTCCAGGAGAAAAAAATAGTGTCAGTTTCCGGCAGCATTAATCATGATGAGAGGGAGCCCAGCTGTTTGGACAATGAAAATACAATCTCAGGTGTCACTATTCACTTGGTAGCCAGGTGCCTGATTTGTACCTCGGAGGAGGCAAAGCAGCCACTGGACACTGGCCTGGAAAACTCATTTATGGGAGGTCCCGGCCACATCTCTAAACCAGAGGGAAGCTGTGGCCTCCCATCCTATGGCCCAATGTGATCTGCTACACAAACATGCTCTCCTCCTTGACTGCTCTCAGAGGCCCATCGGCTCTCCGCACCCAGAGACAGCCATGCGGTCATCTGGCTGGTGTGCCCCGACATGATCCACAGGAGACTCAAGACCCGGATGCCATTCAGGGCAGAGCACGTGCTTCCTGGCGTCGTGGTGGTCCAGATGGCTGGCACATTCTTCTGCCAAGAAAAGCTTCTCAGAGCCCGGTCCACGGCTCCTAGGCATCCTAGGCGAGAGCAGAGGTGTCACTGTCCCCCTGAAAGCCAGACCAACCCTCCTGCCACCCCACTAACAAAAACCAAAACACACACCAATGATCTTGGCTGTCCCCAGACGATCCCTCACTGTGGTCCTGGACCGCCCACCTCAGTTCTCCATCGTCCCCTGTGGATCTGTATGTGGCTCCCTGGACTTAGTCTCCTTCCCCAATGAACCCTGACTTCGCCTAACAGACACGACTTAAGGTTGGCACCCACACTGCCTTGCACAGAATACACTGCCCAGGTTCAGGCCCCAGGACGCCAATGCCTGACCACAGTCTGGTGTTAGAAAGGGTTGGGGGGAGGGAAACTTAGACATTATTAAGAAAGCACATGAGGGCAGCATTTTGCTAGAAATGGCATCCCTGGTCCTCTCCCAAGAATGAATCACTTACAGGAACACCGCTACCTGTCAAGGTACAGGCATGAAAACAGAGGGGCAGGCGGCCCAGAGGGTGCAGGCCTTACATGAGGTATTCCTGGCTCTGAGTCTGGCTATCACTTACTAGCTCTGTGACTTCTGGCAAGTGAATTAATGTCTCCGTGCCTATGTTTCCACATCTGCAAAAGGGGGATCAAAGTAGATCTTCAATCATAGGATTATTGTGAAGAACAAATGAGATAATATCGTAGCTACTAGGCTCACTATTTTAAGCCCTGTTGCTTTAAGAATAGTTCATCCCTTCTACTTAATTTATTCCCTGCATTTTTCCATTTCAATTTGACTCATCATGAGAGCCAATCAAGTAGCTAGAATTGTGGAACAGGAGCCTGAGAAGCTCAAGCTGCCTCTAAGAGACTCAGATTTTCTCCCAGATGTAGCTTGGCACCTTAAACACTCTGGGCAGCAGAAATCCCTGCAGAATTCAAACTTACTCACAAGGGACAGCTGGCTTATAACCAACCTCTGGAAATCCAAAGCAAGTTCTGAAATGAAAGCATGTAATTGCCTAACATTTTGAGGTCCCGGCCATAGCTATGCGTTTTTCCACTGGAGTTGCTCTCAAATGTGCACGCAGCTCAGCCTCTCATTAGGAGGGCTTTCCACTCCCCAGCAGTTGGCAGAGCCCCAGCACAGTGAGCCCCCCTACACCAGGGCCCCGTGGCTCCCCTCAGCACCCCAAGGAGCCACAGCCTGGAGGGCGAGACGCGGGATCTGGGCTCAGCGACTTCCACCAAGTTTCTTAGCCTCGCTGGGCCTGTTCCCTCACTTTTAAATTAAGCACACTTTTTGGCAGGGTTCTTGTGAAGATTCGAGAACGTTTGTCAAACATCTGGCCCAGCGCCTAACTTGGCAAGCAAATCCTGAATACATTTTGCAATCATTATTTTTTTTTCCATCTACTTGTGGGTCACACTTAACTAGCAGCAGCTTATAAAATCTTCTGAAAATAACTGCTCACTAGGGAAGACAGCCTTTCTGAGTGCCATTCCACTAGCGTGGAAGTGGAGAGTACTATCAAGCACAGGAGCATGGGTGGGGTGGGGAGCTGATGACATGATGCGTGTGGTCTAAGTGGGGGGTCCCCAGACCATCACCTGAGATCTAGTTAGAAATGCAGTCTCGGGTCCAAGCCCAGACCTGCCGAGTCAGAATCTTTGGGGGTGACAAGCCCTCCAGGAGATTCCAATGCTCACCAAAGTCCAAGGACCGCTGACTGTGATAGGGCTCTAAAAACCGCGGCAGCCCCTCAAGTCTCTCGGATATTCCTGGGGGCCACTGTAAGCCATGAACACACAGTAGGAGCCCTGACCACCGGGGGCAGCGGCCACAGCTCTTTACTTCATGAAAACATCCTCGAACACTCGCTCATTTTTTCCATCTAAATGGTAAAGGACGGCTCCTGTAACAGGAAACCACACTGAGCCAATGCAGGGATTACTCGGAGGATAAAGAAGCAGGAATCTGAAATGCCCCGTCTGGCTCCAAACCTCCAGAAGTCGAGGGTCTTATGTTGATTTGACCCGCTGGTGAGTGTGAACGTGGAGAGAAGAAAATGCTGGACCCTAGGGCTCTCTCCATCTCAAGTTCTATTTTCAAACATTCAGAAATGTGATACTTTGCTCCAATGGTATGAAATGAAAAAAAAAAAATTTCTATAGCAACAGAACACAGAAACCCCCCAGTTTGAGGACACAGTTAAATGTAGCTGTTTAAAAGCTAACAACCCCCCCTAGCCGGTTTGGGTCAGTGGATGGAGCGTCAGCCTGGTGACAGAAGGATCCCAGGTTCGATTCTGGCCAAAGGCACATGCCTGGGTTGCGGGCTTGATCCCTAGTGGGGGGCATGCAGGAGGCGGCCGATCAATGATTCTCTCTCATCATTGATGTTTCTATCTCTCTATCCCTCTCTCTTCCTCTCTGAAATCAATAAAAATATATTTTTTTAAAAAGCTAACAAACCTTTGGTTTCCCCACCATAGAAAGTGTCATTTTGGGTGAAGAAGCTAAAGTTTTAGTAGCCAGTTCCTGACACCATCCAGGAGCATCTGCCCTAAATCCTGTGATCTGGCCTTAAAAAGCGGGGCTCTTGGATAGCCTCCTACCGATGGTCAGCAATGGTGGGTTGTGATAACTGTAGGCTCCCCCTCAGTGACAGGAGCATGCAGCTGGTCCCTGAACCCAGTGGACTGCAGGGGGGTCAGGGTTGCCAAGACCCCTTCCCAGGCCCCCACCCCCACCCTGGACTTAACTGAAAAGATGAGGAAAAGAACAACAAATTAGGAGGAGGGAATTACATCATCTCATTTAAGTCCTTCAACAAATCCCATTCTATGCCCCCATTTTACACATGTGGAAACTGAGGTTCCTAGAGGTCAAACAACCTGACCAAGGGCAGAGTTAGAAACCAGGCAGATGTGAATGGGGACTGAGCTTGAGCTCTTTTTGCCACACCCTTGCCTCGCCATAGGAAATGAAGGTATTGCTCCTGATTTTTTAACTTAAGCACAACAGTGTGGCTCATTGTGATCCGCCCTCACTGCATGATGCCGGGTTATCCACGTCTGGCTCAGATACACTCTGCCCATTTTAATCAGCTGTGCTGCGTGCTCACTCCCCTGGCTTCGTGCACATGTACACCACGCACCTTGGCGTGCCAGGAAGGTTCTGAGTCATCTGAGAACTGAGACACTGGGAATAGACATTGTGATCATGGAACTATTCCTTAGAGGATCACTGCAGAGGAACCCAAGCTCTGTGCTGACCTAGTCTTTGAGTAGCACAGAAACACTGGGTAACTGTGCCCAGGAAACAAAGCAGCATTTTTAGTGACCTCGCCATGGCACCCTGATGGGGCACAAAGCCTGAATGGTGAGCAGCAGAGACCTGCCCTCCACGCTGGCACTCAGGCTGCTGGCTTCGCTACACTTAGCACCACGGGAATTCTTTCCCAGTTCTGTACTCATCTAAGTCCCCTCTCATGAGTGGTAGTTTATTCAAATGCCCACTTTTTCCTCTGCTCGGGGTTCCTGCGAGATGGGCCAGGCCGACCGGCCATTCGATTCTGCTCCTTGGTTCACTCCTCTCTGTCTCTCTCAAAGGCAGGCTCCCGTAAGTGGCTGCATGTGCCCCGAGTGTGGAGGACGCCCCGCGGTCTGACCCCCACCCCCTGGCTGCCACATACGCAGTTCCAGCCAGAGGAAGGGCGAGGCCGAGCAGGGTGAAGAACCTGTAGGGAGAAGAAATCCATGTGTGGCCAAGCCTTCCCTCCCCCAACACCACAACACCAGGACACCACGGTGAGGTGCAGAGAAAACAGCCCAGCAAACACAACCACTCCAGCCCTTGCTGGAAGGTAGCTTAATCTTTAACATCCTTAAGGATTAGAAGTAGTTTTCTAAGAATAAATAACTGAAAGAAATTACAAAGTAAAAGATCAATGGATTTCACTAATGTTCTTATTATAATTGTAAAAAAATAATAAACAAACAGCAGTGAGAACATCAGAAGGTGCTTGCAGCTGATACCACAAAGGATTCATATTCTCTATCTATAAAATCAACCTTAAAAATCCATAAGCATCCAAATAACACACACATAGAAAAGGGAGAGGAGACTATAAATAGCAGATAAATAAACTTGGTGGGGGGGGGGACTCATTACCAATTTTTTAAAAATATAAATTAAACCAACTGATTTATCTATCAAATTGCCACAGTTTTTATAAAGGTGAGGCTCCGTTGGTTTAGCATTGTCCTGTGCACCCAGAGGTCACTAGTTCGATTTCTGGTCAGGGCACATGCTGGGGTTTCAGGCTCAATCCCCAGTAGGGGGCATGCAGAGGCAGCCGATCCATGTTTCTCTTTCTCCCTCTCCCTTCCTCTCTAAAATCAATTTTTAAAAAAATGTTTTTTTAAGTAGCTTTGTATGCTACTTGAAAAGGGTGACAGGGTGATGAAACAGACACAGACATCTCCTAGCAGGGGGCAGCTTAGGGGAAGTTTTCAGGAAAGCACCTTATCAAATGATTTGAGCTGCGAGCCAGCAATTGCATTAGTTTCTCCTAAGGTGCAAGGCAGGATGCAAACAGGAAGTAGCAGGCCAGATTGCGGAGGTGCTTGTGAAAGCAGCCAGGCCTCAAATAAGAGACATTCACCTTCAGTGGTCACGTGATAGGACCAGGAGGATTTGGGGACCAGATACCTCTCTTGGGGGTCCTTAAACCCAGTCACTTTTGGGTGTGGCTATCCTTCCTCTTGAACACCTGCATTTTCTTGTTTAAGGTAAATGGTGACCTCCCTGCACAAGGAGCCTGGGCCAGACAACACTCAATGACTGAGAATCCAAGGCTATGTATAGCTGGTGAGTGGAAGTTGGTAACACAGCCCCGACATACACATCCCAACCGTACTCACAGGCACACGGCAGCAAACACGTCGAGGGGGAACATTCCAGCAGCACATCTGGCCACACCCCCATCAGGCAAGGAGGACGCATTCATTGTAAAGAGAGAGAGAGAAGGAGCCAAAAATGAAGCATTTCTGAATCTTAAAATACCTGCCAAGACCAAAAAAAAAAAAGGATTGTATTAATAAGACTTTAGTTGCCAATAAATACTTGATACTTTTCCAAGGGTTTTCATATCTCTTATTTCAAAACAAGATTTTGACATCAAAAGAGGGCAGCTGGCTTTTCATATATCTGATTCACAGATGGATGGTTCACAGATGGATGGGGAGAATAGGACACACGATGCGGTAACTCGGAAGAACTAGGAACGCTGAGCCCAGCTGGAGGTGGACCATGGCTCTCCTGTCTTCTCTGCCCAGACTGCCTCATCCTTCCTAGCACACGGCGCTGGGAATGAGCGTCCTAAAGAGGAGACATTGCCACACTCAAATCTATTTGTGAACCGGTCCCCACAAGAGCGGTAACTGCACTATGAGATGGAGTGACATGACAGAAGCCCACAATGTGATGGGGAAGGGTACTGTCTGAATGTGAAGCTAAGACGCACCAGTTTAGGACACAGCTAATTAGTCGCCAAAAGAAAGAGTCTATAAAGGTATCAGTGGTAAGATCGGCGGGCTCAGACCGCACTGTGCCTCAGCATTCCCTGCGGAGCCTGGTGAGTGGATCCGCCCTGCATGGGTCTGACCCAGTAGGTCCGGGCTGGGGCCTGAGAACCTGCCCGTCTCACTAGGTCCCAGGTGCTCATGCTGCTAATCGGGGTGCCCACTTTGAGAACCACAGGACCAGGGGACTTCCAAAACCTCCACAAAGGAGCGGGACACAGCACAGTTTAACAAAGCGGCAACATTGATTGTAAGTAACAAAAATGCTGCTTTTCAGTAAGTGCCCATTAGAAATGAGACACATTCTGGTCATGATTTCTAATCCATCAACAACCCTACAAGGAGCTCTCTCTCACTCACCGTATGTTACAGACAAGGACAATTCTCATCAGTTAAGCTCGTGAACTTGAGCATAACGGTTAAGAATACAGGTTCTACACTTCAGGAGCCTGCACTCACCCCAAAATGAGTAACTCCCAATTACTATATACCATGGGCAAGTTAGTTCATCGCTCTGTGCCTCAGTTTCCCTCTTGATAAATGGAGTTAATAAGACCTACCTTGTAGGGTTGTGTTGAGAACTAAATGTAGCAATAATGATAAAGCAATTAGAAGGAACTTGGCCTGTAGTGAGAGCTCTACTAATGTTGTCTTTATTATTATTGCTGCTAAGTGGCAGGGACAGAGCTCAGCCCAGGGCTGTATGAACTTGAAGAATGTGGTTTTTTATTCCCTCATGTTACCTTATCTCACCACACTACATTGCCTCGACTTGCATTCAGGAGGCTTGGGTCTGAGCCAGCTTGCTGTGTGACCCTGGGCAAGTCACTTCACCTCTCTGGGCTTCATTTCCTTATCAGCATAAGGAGGAAGGGTGGGTTGGACACAATGTATTCTAGTGCCGCTTCCACTCCAACACCCACTGTTCCATGAGTCTGGCCAAAGGTTTTCTAAAATGTCTAAGCACTTGCTCTGAATTTACATGTCCCCAGATACTTCCTGGTAGTATTTGAATTTCCCCAATAAACTCTCCCACTGAAAAAGAAGTGTACTGACCATCGCCATGTCTGTTCCCGCTGGAAGTTCTATTTCTAATTTTAAAGGAGTCCACAGGCCTTCGTCAATCAACCACTCATTCACAAGCCTTTGGGCCGTGGGAGCCGGGCCTCAGCCTGATGACCTTGCGTGAACTGAGAAAACCAGCTTCCTGGCCTCCTTCATTCCCGTGGTGACGGTCTGCAGACATCCTGCGAGGCCACAGCAGCCAGAACCTTCCTTTGTCACCTATAACTGCACAGCCCGCATTGGAGGCCACAGCGAAATCCAAAAATCAAGCTGTAAAAGCTTTGTAGTTTATCTACACTGTTGAAAAAATTGTTATTTTTTACCCGAGACCCTACAGAAAGTAGAAGACAACAGAACTAGGAATAAAAAGAAAAGTAAGTCTCTGGACTTCCAGATGAAATTTCCTTCCCCTTCCATTGTTTTTAAACGTGTACTATTTTTTACACCTGAATCTTCCCTTCAGCACGGGCTGAACAGCAGCTGAAAAGTGAACCCCCATTGTCTCCAATGGTCTTTCTGCAGCTAAATCCTAGAGGAGTTGCCTTACAGGCCCCAGAGCCAAGAAAAGCAAGTTGCAGCCGACCTCACCTGCATTGCCCCAGGAGTCCTTCCTGCACAGCCAGCAATTTGTTGAAGGCTGAAATTTGAAGCCTTGAGCAATGGTGTCCTGAGCCAGAGGACACAGGAGCCCCGAGTCCTCGCTCAGCGGGCAAACCTGGACGTGGAGAACGCCTCTGGGTCACGGGTTGACACTGCCCACTGCCCCACAGATGGTCCAGGCTGGAAACTCACAAAATGATGTTCCTGGCTCTGCCCAGAACCATCACCATACCCACTTTGGAGAGTGGCAGGAACTTTTAAACCTGTAAGTAGCCAAGAAGCCAGAACAATGCTGGAAGGGGTGTGGGGGAGTGGGGGGCGCGTTAACTTGGTTACACTGAAGGCATCATTAGCGTTGGCCTTCAGGCACTCGAACTTCTTACATTTCCACCAGGGACAGGGGTGCTAAGGGGTTCCACAGGATCTCACCCACAAACTCCCACTGCTCTGTGCCAAGCACCTTACAGGTAGGAGTGTGAGCAATCTAAGTTCCACCCCTTAACTCCACTCCACTGTAGTCACTCCCTAGAGGGAGCTGGGAGCCAGCTGGGCAGGGAACTCTGGGGTCCTAGACACTGAGAGTGCGAACTGGAAGGGCAGGCAAAGGCTCCAGGTTGGCACCTCTCCTTAGCCCTACAGACATCTCATTCGATAGGGAGGACAGCCAGAGGAAGTCCGGTGGAGGGGTCCCTGACGTATGGAGCCCAGGACAGCATCCTGGTTGCCTAGGTCTGAGGGCTGCTGCAGACACCATTCCTCCAAAGCACCCACCCTCCTCTCCTGTTAATCACAGGACTCTGGGATCCTAAGGGTCAGTGGGGGAAGAGACTGAGTAGAACAGAATTGAGCTGTAGAGTTCCCAAAATCAAGTTCAAAGGGACTCTGAAAAGAGGCTGTTATGGATTGAATTGTGTCCCCCCAAATTTCATATGTTGAAGCCCTAACCAGTGGCTCCCCCGATTCCTCAGAATGTGACTGGTTCTGGAGGTAGGGCCCTTAAGGGGTGATTAAGTTACAACAGGCCACTGAAATATGCCCTAATCCAACTGGCATCCTTATATGATGACATTTGGACAGACGTGAGCACACAGAGGAAGGACCACATGAAGACAGTAAGAAGGTGCCATTGGCAAGCCAAGGGTAGAGGCCTCAGGAGAGACCACCCTGCCCACACCTTGATCTTGGGCTTCCAGAAACGTGGGAAAGAAATTTGTTGTTTGAGCCCCCAGGCTGCGGTGTTTTGTTAAAGCAGCCCTTTGCAACTAGCATAGGGACTCACCAAAGTGCTGTGCTCAATGGGGCCGCACTCAGACAGGGAACCAGGCCCAGACTCTCATAATGAGGCTGCTCGGATGGGCCTGGTTTGCTGGGCTTATCCAACCCAACCCAATGACCCAAGTCAATGTTCTCAGGTCCCAGCAGCACTGAGAAGAAGCACCCACACCCGACTCTGAATCCTGCCACGGTCAATAAAACCAATTGGCAGCCTGTGCACATTCAGTCGACCTTAAATGTCTACACTGTGCTAGACTCTAGGTCTACACAGGGGAATAGGAGACCTTTATTCGAGCTGTTTCCCACCAACATCTCATCCCAAATCTTCCCTAACTCAGGCCAGCTTAAGACCTCGCTAGAAACATTCCCTTTTCTCCTCCCCAGTGTGATTCCCTTCCCCTTCGCCCCAAAGCTCCTCTCCAGACCTGCCTGTCCCCACCACTCAATGTGACCTGGACTGTTTATTTTCCAACAGTTTCCCAGCAGCCTTGGGCACACATTCTTTTCTTACTATCTGAATTACAGGTTTCCCAAAATGAATAACTCCCAGTTTCTTTTGATGGTCCCCCAGCACACATGTGATGTCACACACAAAAGCCAAATAGAAGAATGCTCAATAAATATTTTCTGAATTAAACTGAGAACAGGAAATGGTATTCTGTGAAATGTTTTGGATTCCTTTTGCGTTCTTAGTCAGAGAGGCACTTTTGTGGGTAATTCAAGGAATTCTTATCAGAATCACTCCATTTTCTCAATCAGCACTCAATCAGGGATGGTAGTGGGGAAAGATGTATCCCTTGTAGGTCTAGCACCGTTGTTCTAGTATGGAGGCCTCATAACTCTGATTATAATCAGCAAAGCAAGATGAGACCAGCCTAACAGAGCATAGGAAAGAGGACAGTTTACAGCTATTGTAAGGGACTGCTGAACATGGATTGCAAGCAGCTCAGTACTCATTGCTTTGGGCCACTGCAAATGGTGTCAGTGAAATCACCATATGATGTTCTAAAATTTCCATCAGGCAGGAGACAGAGAAAGTTGAGTCTGGAAAAGTTTGCTAACTCAGTGTTAAGAGACCCTTAAACCAAGCCCCTTCTTTTCAGCTCTGTATTGTCCCTGTGACCAGGTAAGGTCATTGGCCTCATAATTAAACTTCAGCCAGATTTGTCTAATGTTTATCAAGTATGTTCTAAGTGTAGATATGGGCTGAGTCATCACCCTCCCAACTCCCTGTTGTGTTTAAGGGACCTCAGATAATCCAGCCAAACTAGGAAACTAGGTATTAGGTCGTTTTCTGGGTTGAATTGTATTTCCCACCCCCCCACCCCCCAAAAAAGGTTCAAGCCCTAACCCCTGGGAACTGTGAATGTGATTTTATTTGGAAATAGGGTATTTGCAGATATAATCAACTTAAGATGAGGTCATACTAGGTTAGGGTGGGCCTTACATTCAATATGACTGATGGCCTTATACAAAGAGGGAAGTTTGAACACAGAGAGACACACAGAACAGAACTCCAAGTGACGACAGAGGTAAAGGTTGGAGTGATGCATCTTAAACTGCCCAGGTAAGGGCATTGTGTTATAGGATCTGGAAGGGGAGTAGAATATGCCACCACAAATGTCTAAAAGAGTTTAGATAAGAGGCCTGGCTCAGAGGGAAAACTACTACCAGAGATAACTTTGATCTGAATATCCCACCTGTATTGCAAGGCAAACATCTAATCACCAAACATCATTCTTCTTGTCCTATGAATTACTCTCCTGTCCTCTGAAGCCCTACGCCCCTGTCCCACTCCTTAGCCCAAGATAGCTTATAAGCCTCAACTTGCCTTTGGTCCTTGTATTTTTATGGGAAGTATTTTTCAATATTCCCCATACATATGGAATTAAAATGTTTTCTCCTGTTAAACTATCTTATGTCATCTTAATTATTAGACCAGTCAAAGAACTTAGAAGGGTAGAAGGGAAATTTTTTCCTCCCCAACAATCCCTAGGAAATGGAACACAGTGAGTGACACTGAAATATGCGGATATGAATTGTTCGGGCCTGTAACTGGGTTTGTAATCACCACATCCAAATTTTATCTGGAATCTCAACACTCTGGTGTTACATATTTTCATTCTCAGGAACCCACACAAAGTCTGTTGGTTTAAATTTTATAACATCCTACGGCAACCACACTGTGCAGTTTTTCGCAATATGTTCTGCTCTGCCCAGAGTCTTTTTCCCTCTCTGTGCAATACTGGCTCATTTCTTTTTGGCTTATCTGCTATGGTCTCCATGTCTTAACTCCCTGCCCTCCTGCTCCAGATGAGTAAAATCTGCACAAACAGCTTCCTCCTGTGATTGCTGAGCTGGTTACCCCCACACTGTGGGGGGAATATTGGCAACCCCATCAAAAGCTGTAAGGAATAGCTGACAAATCCTTTCCAGATGGGAACCTTTTCCCCTGGGCAAAGACCCTCCCATTTCTATCTACTATCTGTGCAGAGCTGGAGCAATGCCTTGGCAGTGATGACTGAATTATAGCCAAGTCAGCTCTGCTCACTCTAATCCTTTCTCCAGTTCCTCAGAAAATCATTAAAATATCTTTGCAAAACAGCAAATTGGTGGTCACCAGATTGGAGGGGGTTGGGAGGCTGAGTAAAAAAGGTGAAAAGGATTAAGAAGTACAAATTGCCAGTTAGTAAAATAGTCATGGGGGCCCTAACCGGTTTGGCTCAGTGGATAGAGTGTCAGCCTTCGGACTAAAGGGTCCTTCGAACTAAAACGTCCCAGATTCGATTCTGGTCAAGGGCATGTACCTTGATTTCAGGCACATCCCCAGAAGAGGGTGTGCAGGAGGCAGCTGATCGATGTTTCTAACTCTCTATCCCTCTCCCTTCCTCTCTGTAAAAAAAAAAAAAATTAATAAAATATATTTTTTAAAAATAAATAAATAAAATAGTCATAGTGATGTCAAATACAGCACAGGGAATACAATCGATAACATTGTAATAACTGTTATGATGTCAGATGGGTGCTAGACTTCTGGGGGTGATCACTTCATAAGTTATATAAATGTCTAATCACTATGTTGTACACCTAATATAATATTGTATATCAACTATAATTGAAAAACAAATAAAATATCTTTGTATTAATAATAGTTTCTACTCTCCCCTTTTATTCTAATTTTATTTTCCCATTCAATTCTGACTAATGAGCTTAGCATTTAAAAAACTAGGCTAATTGATAAATCTCTTAAATCATATGAACATTAACTCAGATTTAGGGAGTCATTTATTCACTTGAAATGCTAATTTAATAAAACTCTGCAAATTTATCTTTGTTGCTAGGCTATTTATGACTTATTCAACAAGAATCAAAATTAAAATTTGATTTATTACAATTGGTTTTCTTTTTAAGAGCACATAAAATATTTGGCTAGATAAATAATGTATCTGAAGCTCTAGGGATAATCATAAATTCAGAGGAAAATTAAGGTTGTTGAAGACTAGCTGCAATATAAACACTTAAAAGAGGACTTTTAATAATGTGTGTGATATTGTGACATAATGAATATATATTAGATCTTCATCCCCAGTTCCTGGTACAGAGCTCCTAAAGCCCTTGGAATTTCCTGAGTGTTAGGGGTGAGAGGAACACCTGCTGTTATTCATAATACAGTAAACTCCTTTCAACCATACTTGAGGTTATGCTAATGAGGGGACCCCTGTGGGGGAGAGGGGTGGTTGCCAAAAGAACCAACCTTGTGATTAGAGGGTTGGAACATTCAGCCCCATCCCTGACCTCTAGAGGGGGTGGGAATTGAGTCAATCACCAGTGGCCAATGATCTAGTCAATTGCACCTAATATAACGCCATGAAAACCCTAAAGGAAGGGGTTCAGAGAGCTTCCATGTTGATGAAGACACTGAGGTGCCGGGAGGAGGTGGGGGGTGCACCCTGAGAGGGCATGGATTCTTCCACTTGGCTCTTTCTGAGTTTTGTCCTTTGTAATAAGCCAGGAATCGTAAGTAAAGTGTTTCCCTGAGTTCTGTGAGCCATTAGACTTAGAGCAAATTATCAAATCCGAGGAGGGTGTCATGGGATCACCTAATTTGCAGCCAGGTCAGAAGTGGGTAATCTGGGGACTCACTACTTCCAACTGGCATCTGAAGTAAGGAGACTGTGCCTTTAACATGTGGGGTCAGCACTACCTACCGTTAATTAGTGTTAGAAATACACAATGTGAGGGGGAAACCCACACCTTTGGTGTTAGAAGGGTTCTGTGAATAGAGAAACAGTGTTTTGTTTTGTTTTTTAAATATTTTTAAATTGATATTTGAGAGAGAGGAAGGGAGATGGAGAGAAAGAGGGAAACATCAGTGTAAAAGGGAAACTGAATGGCTGCCTCCTGCTCGCCTCCTACTGGGGATCGAGCCTGCAACCCCGACATGTGCCCTGACCGGGAATCGAACCTGCAGCCTTTCAGTGTACAGGATGACGATCAACCAACAGCCATATTAGCCAGGGCTGTCATGTTAGTTCTTATTTTGGTAACTAGAATAAACACAAGAGTCAACAATTTTAGGCTTTAAAGCTCTTCATTTGAAAATTTTGAACAAGTTGAGGAAATCAAGCCAGTTTTCATGAGGACTAAAATGTGTACATTCTGCAGGTTAAGATCCAAAGTGTTTGGAAGGCCACTGAGAGTTGGATCCAGACTGCCTGCCTGTCTAGCCTCTCTATAGAGAGAAAGAGGAGACGTATGGGGAGATTAAGTGATTTGCCCAGGATCACACAGCTGGGAGGTGACGACCAGGACCAAAGCTGGGCGCTTACCACTAATCCCTTACCACACATGGGCCTCACACAATCCTAGTTCATTCTGGATGTGGCAGCTGACAGACCTCCACACATGGGCCCCAGCACAGGACACTCGCAGTATAGAAACCGGACACCTCGCCCTAGCTGTTTTGGCTCAGTGGATAGAGGACCAGCTTGTGGATTGAAGGGCCCAGGGGTCAATTCCAGTCAAGGGCACATGCCCGGGTTGCGGGCTCCATCCCCAGCAGGGGCGTGCAGGAGGCAGCCGATCGATCAATGATTCTCTCTCATCGTTGATGTTTCTATCTCTCTCTCCCTCTCCCTTCCTGTCTGAAATCAATAAAAATATATTACCAAAAGAAAAGAAACCGGGCATCACCTACCTCCTTTCTTCAAGCCCAACCAGGAGCTGACTGTGAGGGAAGGTTGTTTCACTTGAAACTTTTATTGTATAAAAATGCAACTCCTACCTTCTTTATTCTTTCTCCTCCTTCCTGCCTTCTCCCTTCCTATGCTTCCACCACCACTCCCAACCCCTGCGCCACCCCTCCGCCCAACTCCATTAGTCTCGGCTTATTGCATTTATCGGAATGAAAGGTTCATTTGATCCTGAAAGAATGGCCTTTCTTGGCTCTGAGTTGTTGGGGTTTTTCAAACTTTATGCTGAGACAATAGTTTCACTAGGTATTCTATTTTGTTATTGTTAATCCTCACCCAATGATATTTTTCCCATTGATTTTTAGAGAGAATGGAAGGGAGGGAAAGGGCGAGGAGAAAGTGGGGGGAAAAACATAGATGTGAGAGGGACACATCGATTGCCTGCCTCCTGCATGTGCCCCAACCAGGGCTGGGGACTGGACCTGCAACCCAGGTACATGCCCTTGGAAGGGAATTGAACCTGTGACCCTTCCGTGCAGGAGCCAACGCTCTAAGCACTGAGAACACTGGCTAGGGCTCTCTGGGGATTCTTTTGCACCTACCCAGCTGAGCCAACGCAGTCACGTCCTCTTCCGCACAAGAATCAGGGACACACACGCCCACACTGTAGTCAGCTACATCCTAGGAAACAGAAGGCCACAGCATTCCTTAATGCTAACGTTCATGGAATACATACATAATGGTTTCCAAGTCAGTGAGGCAGTGGCTGCAGTACACATGAATTAAGCACACTGGGAAAGGGAAGAGAAAGGTATTAAAAGAGGGAAAGTTGGCTGACTTCTTTGGGGATGGCTTTTCCATAACAGAGTAGTTCCGGTGAATTTACAGAACATCGGATGCACCCATATTTAAATAAAAATATGCTCCAAGGCTTAATGTAGCTGATTATTTGGAAAGCAGCCCCCCGGGTGGGAGTGTGCCCCAGAGTATCCCTCTCCCATATTAAAAGTTAACCCTCCTACAATTTTTAATAATACTGCCAACTTGTCATTTCATCCTAGCAGGACACGATATATCAAGTAAAGATTTTACAAATAAATCAAGCCAATAATTAGAATGCCTGTCCCAATAAAACAAATATCAATTATAAATAAAGGTTTCTGGGATGCTTCTGAACATATGACTTGCATGATTGTGTAGGCCTGACCTTTTGCTCTGATAGCAAAACCATTCATCTGCTTTGAAAACAGGATGCGACATTTGTACACACTGGTTAAATCCTGAAGCAACCATCATAACTCTCAGGGGACAAATGGAGCCAGGTGATAATCTCCCTATGTCCAATGGTTGACATTGTAAGACCATTTTATGGTATTAACAGCGGAGACCTTGGATGGCTTGTTACTAGCCAATCAGTAATGTATTTTCTTTTAGCATTGTGACATGCATAAAGTCTATTTTTGTATTTAATAGGAGGCCATGAGTTTACTTCTCTCCCCCACCCAGCAGTAAAAAAATAACATGCTTTGAAGATAATGAGCCATGTGACTTCAGTCAACAGATTTAGTAATAAGGTCATAGAAGTCCCAGCCTATCTGCCAGGATGACCTCAAATTCCTGTGTTGTACTCTGCTTCTGGGACAGGATTATGGGTAATGGGAAGTCCGCCCTCCCTCATGTTCCAAACACTGATGGTAAGTCAGGAGTTAATGCCCACGAGTATTGGCTGGGACTTGACCTTGGATTTCCCATGAAGGTCCTCCAGAGGTCTTGCCCCATGTAATACGGTGGGAGGAACATCTGAAGGCCTATGTGGTCTGTGAACAACTGCCTCTTATAATGTCCCACACTCAGAGTATGCAAGCAACTTTCTGCCACTGTTTAAAATTTAGTTTTAATGTTCTGAAAAACATCTTAATAGGTGCTTTGTTTTTTTTAATTAAGAAGACTAATCGACAGAGTTGTAATGGGTTCCATATCATGAGGTTCATTTGTCCTTCAAGAGCATGCACGCAGTCCCCACGCTCACCTGCAGGATCTGAAGCTTGCAGTACTGCCCCTGGAAGCTCCCCGAGGGGGCGTGGGTGGAGAGGCACTCGCTGTAAGATCCCAGTCTATCCACGTTCCCATTGAGAATATTGCTCCCAAGTTTCCCGACGGAGTCATACACTGAATTTCAAAGCAAAAGAAGTGGGCAAAATTAGCTTCCTTGTGTCACTTTCAAGTGAATTTATTGGCACTCCGTTGCACCATTTAAATCTATCAAAGTTAAATGACCAAAACAAGAGACAGGTATGTTCGGATGTCACTCCCTGAGCCTGCATTTTGCATCAAGGGCCTTCTCATTGTTGAGGGAGAACAATGGTGCATGCTCTCATGTTGTCCAATGTGTACCCTCTCATTTGTAGGTGTTCTTGCTCTGGGTAAGTGTATTTTTAATTTCTAGAGATGACTTCGTGCCTCAGATCTCCTGCTTCTACATCTGTCACTCAGTGCTACATGGTACCAAACCCTACGTATAGCACTATGTTTTTTTTCTATACATGTATACCTGTGATAAAGTTAAATTAGAAACAGCAAGAAATTAAGAACAATAACTCATAATAAAATAGAACAGTTATAACAATATACTGCAATAAAAGCTAAGTGAATGTGGTTTCTCTCTCAAAACATCTTATTGTATACTATACTCACTTTTCCACTTGAAGGGAGCACTTTACAGCTTCTCTTTGGCAAATCCAAACTGCCAGCACCACTACTCTTGTGCTTTGAGTCCATTATGAAGTAAAATAAGGGTGACTTGAACTCAAGCACTGAGATCCCACAGCAGCCTATCTGATAACCTGGTGAACCTACTACTACTAAGTGACTAGCAGGCGGGAGTGTCTACAGCGTGGAGATGCTGAACAAAGGGATGAATTACGGTCAGTGGAATGCAGAAGGACCACTCAAGATTTCATCACATTACTCAGAATGGCCCCAAATGGGAAAACCTATGAATTATTTATTTCTGCAGTTTTCCATTTAATATTTTCTAACCAAGGTTGAGCACAGGTAACTGAGACCATAACAGCAAAACTGAGGCTAAGGAGAGACTACCGCCATAAACAACAAGCCATTGGAGGACAGCCATCTCCCCCCTTGACACAGGGCCAGTGCTGCTTTCACAATCCAGGCATGACTCAGCGATGCTGCAAGCTGGTTCTCGGTTGCCGCAATACAGCGAGTATCACAATAAAGCGAGTCGTAATCTTTTTGCTGGTGGAAGGTCTTGCCTGCAATTTGTAAAAATCACAACATCTATGAAGCGCAATAAAGCTAAGTGCAATAAAACCAGGTAGGCCTGTATGGGACTGAGTAGTTTCAACAGAGGTTGTACGGCCCACAAAACCGGAAGTATTTACTATCTGAGGAAAACTTTGCAGACCTCTTGTCTAGAGCTGTGATTTTCTATCCTGGGCAGACATTAGGATCATCTGGGGCATATTTTAAAACTTCAAATGCCCAGGCCCCACCTTCACAAAGGGTGACTTAATTGGTCAGGGTGGGGCTCGGGAATGAATTGTTTTTTCAGAATTTCCCAGGAGATCCCCGGTGCAGCCAGGCTTGGTCACTGTAATCTTTAGGATTAATTCCAGGCCCCTGAGCATGGTTTCGAAGGCCCTTCGTGACCAGACTTGTTTCTCCAGTCTCATCCTCCCACCCCCGTTTCCTCTGCTGTTGTACAGGATGCACCAGGCCTGCGCTTGCCTCTCCTTCTGCCTGGAATGTCCTTTCTTCCCACCGCCTGGAAAATGCTGAGTCATCCTTTGAGGGCTGGCTGAAGGGTGCTCCCTCTCCCCCCACCCCAGGAAAGATTCCAGACTCTTGCTTAGTGTATCACACCGAAAGGCACATTACTATTTACCTGTCTGTCTCTCATGTGAGTGAGAGGCCATGTCTTCATTAAAAAAACAGAAGAGGAGCTCAATAAACATTTGCTGAATTGAAATAAACTTTGAAAAAATTTAGTTCAATACCCCAAATCCAAGTCCACCAATGTATTTTGAGGTCCTCCCCATGTCAAGAAAAACAACAATTTTGAAAGCTGGATGTAGTTATTATAAATAGACTAAATAATTTCCCAATTCCCTTCTCCATCACTATCTGAGTATCCCAAATTCTGTAGCCTGCAATTCACGGCTCTGGAATTATAGGAGTTGAAGGAGACAGAAACAAGAGAGGTGCCAATACTGAGCTTGCCTTCGCCATTAGGTAAACACCTGAAGGATGAATACAAATACAGAGGGATAGTCCATTCTTCGCTTTGGAAGATTAAAGTCTAGTTTTCTTTCCAATTGGTGTTTTGCTCTGTGAACTGGTTCTCTTGGATTGGATTTAAATGATTTTCCAGCTGAGGTTATTTTATATGCTATGCAACTTTTCAATTGCATTAGCTTCCTTTCTGGTTATAAATGCAAATGGACAGGTTGCCCTTTCCCTGCCTTACCCTTAATTAGTTTCTGTCTAGGATCTGAGATGCCTGGCCATGGGCACCATCCAAATCAAAATCCACTGTGATCGTCGCGGGAGGGAGGGACAGAATAAAATAATGATCAATCCCACCTGCTACTTCACATCAGATGGCCGTTGGTCCAAGTTTTCATTACGAAAAGATTAAAAAGAACTCATTTCAATTCTGCTGGGCTAATTGGCAGACAAATTTTCTTTCTCACATGATGGCAATGATATATGGGTATTAAAATGCAGAGTTGATTAATTTCTGGGTTTAAGTGGAGGAGAGCAAGACCTCAACCAATGGTCTTAAAATATAGATGCACTGCTACCATGTTGTTAAAGGTGGCAGAAGCTTCTAGAAGGCTAAGCACAAACAGAACCTGAAAGTGATGATTATCTTCAGCATTAACAGCAAATATGTATTAAGCACCTATCAGATCACTGTGTTATACTGGAGAATTTTAAAAATGAGAACTGAATAGTCCTTGCCCTGTAGCTGACGATACAAGACATATGCAAAAAAAAAAAAAAATGCTAACCATCTGTTGCCAGAGATCTCCTTGTTGGTAAGAAAACAATCTGAATGTGCTAGCAATTTGATTTCCAACTTCCTGAAGCAGGCTCTTTGCAAAAAAAACCTTCTGGAGTCCCCCTTGTGTCTGGTCAACTATTAATCTTAGACTTGCACAAGTATAGCATGTGTATCGGTTTTCTGTGACTGCTGTAAGAAATTTCCACAAACTGGGCAGCTTTAAATCACAGAGATGTATTTTCTCATGAGTGTAGAGGCTGGAAGTCCAAAACCATGACCACTGTGTTGAAATCAAGGTGTCCCCAGGGCTGCACTCCTGCAGGCTCCAGGGGAGAATCTGTTCTTTGCCTCTTCCAGCTTCTGGTAGCCGCCGGCATCTTGGCTCACGGCCACATCACCTTGTCCTGTGTGTGTGTGTGTGTGTGTGTGTGTGTGTCAAATCTCCCTCTGTCTCCCTCTTCCAAGGATCTATGTGATTGCACTTAAGGGCCCACCTGAATAATCTGAGACAATCTCCCCATCTCAAATTCTTTAGCTTAAGTACATCTGTGAAGCCTCTGTTTCCATATAAGGCAACATTCACAGGTCCCAGGAGTTAGAATGTGGTTATCTTGGGAGGGCCATGTTTCATCATCCAGTTAACCCAGAAATTTCAGTGGAGCTGCTGTGTCTCCCTTTCTCTAGGATGGGATTTGCTTGGTGCCAACCACTTTTCTGTGCCCCGCTCCAGCGCCCGCGAGGAGGCTGGCCTGAGTGAGGCGCCCTCCAGACTGACAGCTGGACAGGAAAAGAGGCAACTTCCAAGAATGCAAATCAAGTAGACGGTCCTCCACTGATGACCGGAGGAGAACAAAGGCCAGCCCAGTGAGTGACTCCCTGTGACTGTCTCTTCTCACAAGGGCATACACCACAGGCCCGGGCTTCCGGGACAGAAGACAAGACACACAGGAGGCAGGAAATAATCATTCCAGAAGACAAACGAGGAAGCCCAGGGGAGCAAGTGATCAGAGTAGAAAGCTCAGCAGCCCAGCCTCCAGAGGGACCTCAGGGGCCTGGTACGGGACCAGGGAGAAGGGACCTAAAGGGTTAAGAAAGTTTTACAGCAAAAGTAACTGCTTGGGGAAGACTTCAAGGATGTTAGGAGATGAGAGAAAACAGGAAATGAAGAACCCTGATGCAGGCTGCTGGGAACCAGAGGTCTCCTCCTCCCCCCTCATTCCATCCCTGAGGAATAAAGGGCAGGAAAATGCAGAAATCATGTGAAACCACAGGGGCCTCAGTATGATGAACACAGTTTTCATTCCACATAAACAGCTGCCCGTGCGAGGCCCCTGCCGCAGACAGCACTCCGAGTGGGTCTGGTTGGACCGTGAGAGATGGCCAGGGGTGGACCTGGTACATCTTAGGGAAAATGAGTTCCAGGGCCTGAGAGTGATTTGCTTTTGTTTTCATCTCAGATCACAAATGCATGCTGTTTATTCCAGCGGGTGTGTCCAAGAGGCCATAGTTCTCTGAGTTTGTTTCCTAGGGCTGTCTTAACAAATTTTCACAAACTGGTGGCTGAAAACAACAGAAATCTGTTGTCCCACAGCCCTGGAGATCAGAAGTCCGAAATCAGGATTGGTTCCTTCTGGAGGCTCACAGGGAGAATCTTCCATGCCTCTCTCCTAACTTCCAGTGGTGGCTGGCAATTCTTGGCTTTCCCTGACTTATAGACACATCACTCCAATCTCTGCCTCTGTCATAGAGGGCATCCTTGTGTGTCTCTATTGCCCTCTTATAAGAATACGAGTGGCCCAGTGCATGAAATTCATGCACATTAAAAGGGAATTAATTAGAGGAAATACTTTAATATTGCTATTTGCCCTTTCTCTATAATAGAAGTGTCAGATGAAAGAAAATTAGTAAAATGTATATGAAAATCTCCCACCTGTCAGAGTCTGGGGCATGCCACAGGACCCAGAGTCAAGTCCCTGCCCACCGGCTTGCACCTCGAAATCACGCGAGACCCAGACCCGGTTAGCCCCACCCCCATCAATCCCTGCAGGGTGGGGAGCACAGCTTCAGGTCCCCCATCAAGCCCCACCAGGCAGGGGGTGCAAGGGCATGAAGGTGTGATGACCATTTGCATATTAGCTCTTTATTGTATAGGATCAGCCACTTGATTAGGGCACTCCTTAATCCAGTAGGAACTTCTCTTAATTTGACCATGTCTACAAAGACCCTATTTCCAAAAAAGGTCACATTCGCATGTCCTCTGTGTATGTCAAATCTCTCTCGCCTCCCTCTTCCAAGGATCTATGCGATTGCACTGAGGGCCCACCTGGATAATCCAGGGGTTAGGGTTTCACCGTGTCGATCTAGAGGACAACCTACCACCCTCTCCAGTGGCTATTCTAAATGCTACTAGTTAGCTTGTGAGGCATGGCTGGAGAGGCTCTGGGCCATGGCGAGAAGCTGTGAGCTCGGGGAAGGTGTGACAAGTCTATAGAGAGATGGGATCCCTGGATGGCCGAAGTCAGAGAACATCAGCTCGAGTCCTCTCTGCAAGACCACACGTCTCTGCCTGAATTCCATCCACCCTCTCTCTGCACCTTACTCCCCAGAGCCCCGCCCACTATCAGAGATCCCACCGCTTATCACCTCTATGCTTTGCCTTGGGGTGGAGTTTTAAAATATTATGCAAATTTAACATATTAAAAAGGCATAAGAAAAAAAATAATGAAACACCTATGTTCCCATCGCCCAGCTTAAAAAATAAAACTTGACCCATCATTTGAAATCTGATGGGTCCCCTGTGGCCTCCCCACCCTAAGCACCCTCCTCTCCGAGGCAGCGTCTAGCTGAATGTGGAGATTCCATTCTCAGGCGTTCCTTCCCATCAGCACCACATGGGCGTCTCCCTGAGCAATAGATCACCATCATTTCCATTTTTAAAAAGAATATTGTACATATTCTTCTACAATGTCTGTCTTGGTGTTATTCCTGTGTATTCCCTCCTTACTGATACATGTTGCTCTGCCTCATTCCTTTTGCTGCTGGGTTTTTTTTTCCCTCCTTGTTTCTCTTGTCACTTATTTTAGGCAGAGATGGAAAGTACAGGCTTGGGAACAGATGACCTGGACTCAAATCCTCTCTCTGCCATTTACTTCAAGCAAAATACATCTCTGTGGCTCCATTTTCTCATTTATAACATGTGGATGATAAAAACTCCCTCCCCATAGTGGGGGTGGGGTGCTAACTGAGACAACTCCTGCCCGGGGAGCAGTGCCTGCCATGAAAAAGTACTCTCTAGGTACCGACTCCTTATTTTTCCTCAGTGTAAAGAAAACCACACCGAGAACGAAGACCAGAACAACTTGCTGGGCTCAGACGCCTCAGGCAAGATGTCCAGTGTTTTCTGGTGCATTAGAATGAAAATCAGTTAAAACAACCAGAGGTAGTAGTACTTATCATGCATTAAATTAAGCAATTGTCATCTGTCCCATTATGTAAGTCATTCAATTCTGCCTTGGACCATTTATCTTGGGGAAGTTTTCTTAACTAAAAAAATAAAGACTTTTAATTTTCAGGCTCCTATAGCTGGAACATCATTGGCACATGGCTAGAGGGACTTTTAGGGCAAATAAAGTGTTAACAAATAAAACTGGGACTAATAATGGCAAGATGTGCCTCCACTTCATCGCCGGGAATCTGAGGCAGTCACTGTACCTTCTGGATTTGCTGCCTAGCTTATTGGGCTTAGGTTCATCAGAATCTTCCCTGTCAATATCACTGAGTGTCGCAGCAAAACATCAGTAGCAGCATGAAACTTGAAAATAGCTTTGGGATTAGGAGGATTTATCTTTTCCCACCATCTCATTAAACATCAACTGTAGAATGGCATTTGCTTCAACCCATGTGCTATTTTGAATTACCCAATATTAAGCCCAAACTTTGTTTATCTGTATGATGTGCATCATGCCACTGAATGTTTTCCAATACCAAAATCAATGTGGTCAAAATGGAAATGGAAATCGCTATGATCAGTTTTCTGGCTTTTGAAAGAGTGAATTTCTACATTTTCCCTTGTTAGCGGTTTTCATCAGCATCAACAATTAATCATTCCCTCCACAGAGGTTGCCTCACTGAAAGCGAATCTGATTTCCTGCCTGCTTCTGGCGGGAAGGTTACGTGTCCCTTTAGTCGGGAGAATAATTTGGGGAAAACTACAAAAATAAATAAATACGGCAGCCTGACATCCATCCATATCCCATGCAAAGAGGTCTGGCGACAGCCGAACATTTTCCAGCCTGAGCCAGTCCACTCACTAACACACGCCTCAGAATGACGATGGAACATATAACAGGCAAGACTGGTTCCCTGAATCATGAAGCAATTCATTCTCCAAAGCGGATGAAACGTCTAGAAAAAGGACCAACGCAGGCTCTTACGCGCCAGTGAAACGTTACCAGCTTCAATAACAACAAACAGCATCAGACAACATACAGACCATTTCCGTCTTAGTCAGAGGTTGGTCTCCTGGAGACTCCTTCTGGCTAGAATTGATGCCACTATCCCTATTGCCTTCTGCAAGAAAAATTCCGCCTCCCACCTCCGTTCTTGGCGCAATTTGTAAACTGAGGCTCATCTTGTGTTCCCCACTGGGTTCTGTGCTTCAAATTCTCGGGAGTTTTTCTGGGATGCCCAGCACTAACCTGAGACTGCCCTGTGTTCACCTACCCAAGGGGCCAGGGAAACCCACTTACTTCTCAGAGCGTATTCTTTGGGCTCCACTGAATTCAGATCAGAAAGGAACTCATCAGTGTCACGCATGCACTTGAGAGAAATGTTTCTTGCAGGAAAAACAAAGAGTAATTGAAACTGAAAAGAAAACAGAAAAAATAGTAAAGTTGGGGCCATCATTGTCCCTTAACCTGTCAGGATAAAGCTCCCCTCTTAGACAAAGAGCCTTATATTTATGAAACACTGGCCTATAACATGTTGGGGGGGGGGGGGATGTGACATCGCTCGGTCCTTAACATGCAGCGACAAGCTGTGTCTCCTCAGCCACCTGCAAAGCGGCCAAGATGAACAAACCATGGAAACCGATTTATACACAACTGGTTATTGTCGAGGAGAGTGGTGCTGCGGCTGTGGGGGCCGCTGGCCACCTGGCTCCTTTAGTTATGCAGATTAACGTGGACGAGGCTAGATTTTCTCTAGTTGGCCCTTCTTGCGTATACCTCTGGGTTTAAAAAATATATCGAGGATGTTAAGTGGCAATATTTGGCTTTCTCTGGAAATGATTATGAATCCAACCTATAAAACATTCGGATAAGTGACCAGCGAAGAAGGGCTGCTCCGTGATCATCTGCGTTTTTCATGCATCTGTTAATGTGTTTGTGGACTTGAGAGCCCCACGGTGTGGGAGGGATGAACTCCCCCACGGAAAGAGCCGCATTGCAGTGGGACCAATAAGCAGGCGCGTCATCTCCTGGGGCTTAGGACGCACATCACGGGAAGGAAATGAGGCTAACAGAGGTCCACAGGGATGGTGTTCATCTCCTTTAAGAAAACATACCATGTGTGGGTCTGGATTTCTCAGGGTGTAAATATTGTCTTTCCAGAAAGGCTTTCTTTAAATAGCAACCACCCCAACTACAGTGAAAATATGACACAAGCCTTGATTACACCATGGGAACAAGTCCGCACCTGTGGGTGGCTGCGACTCCTGGACTTCCTGCAGCCACTGGCTTCCCAGGGGCCAGAGCAGCCCAGACCCTGGCCCTTTGTTCGAGTCCACGGGGGCTGCTGAGCAGAATCCCGCAGACCGGGGACCTGATAACAACAGGCATTCATTGCGGGCACTTCTGGAACCTGCAAGTCCAAGATCAAGGTGAGGGCCCTGGGTGATCAAACAGAAAAACCTCTAAAACCCGGATTAATTTCCAAGCCAGCTGTTGATATAGTGAAGTTATTGAAAATATGAAATTGCTTTTAGCATTCAGTGTTAACTATCCCATCTTTTGTCACCTGGGGGAGGGGACGATATACAATGAGCAGAACACAAAGCTACATTTTAATCTTTACTAATAAAAACTAAATGGTTTTAAAATACCACCTAAATAAAAAGAAAAAAGATAACCTTACGTTTGGAGAACTAAATAGCCCAACTCCTAAGAAATAAAATTATGATTAATCAAGGTTTAAGGAGACTCATTTGTTTTATGAAGACATTTTAAGCAACCGTATCATATAAGGAAATTCACTGGGCATAAAAATAGGATAGGAAGCCCAGCCGGCATGGCTCAGTGGTTGAGTGTCGACTCTGTATGAACCAGGAGGTCATGGTTCGATTCCTAATCAGGGCACATGCCCAGGTTGTGGGCTCGATCCCCAGTGCAGGGTGTGCAGGAGGCAGACAATCAATGATTCTCTCTCATCATTGATGTTTCTCTCTCTCTCTCCCTCCCTCTCCCTTTCTCTTTCTCTCTGAAAGCAATAAAATATATATATATATTTTTTATTTTTTTTTTAAATAGGCAGGGGAATAATGCCTCCCTCACATCATTTCCTGTGGCAGCAGCAAGCAGCTCCCAATGCTGTTAGTAATGCCACATCATGTGAGTCAAGTCACTAGCTCTGTAGAAAAGGAAAAGGCATTAGGCACCTCATGGTTTGGCGATGAATTTGTGGAAGCAAGGATTTGTCTTGTCTGACAAGAACAAGGACCAGCCCACCTGCTGGGGAAATGGAGCTCATGGCTGCAGAATGAAAAACGCCTCTTGCGATGAGAGGAAAGGGCGACCGCAGGTTAGAAAGCAGGGGGAGTCCGTGGACCGGCTCAGGATCTTTATCCAGAGGACGGCAGACCATTCGCAAACGAGCATAGGTCAGGAGTGAGAAGTGCCAGGAAGGAAAATCATGCGGCGTAAGGAGATGGAGGGTGGTGAGCTGGGTGTGTGCTGTTGGTGGGGGGGGCACATTCCAGCAAGGCGACCAGAAGGGCTGTCTCTGAGCAGGTGACTTCTGCGCCAACTGGAAATTAGTGAAAAACGTCGTGAGAATAAGAATGTAGGGAAGAGCATTCCAGGCAGAGGGAACAGCCAGGTCCAGGTCCTGGGAAGGGAATGTGCAGAGTGAATGAAAGGAACAAGCAGGAAGAAGTGGGAGAAGGTGAGGCTGGCGAGGTGACAGGATGTGGGAGATGGAAGGTCCGCTGAGGTCTCGTGGTTATTGCTAGCACACACTTCCGCTTCTCCTGGTAAGTCTCTCCTACAGGAACTGACATGGCCACGCTGCTGGGACAGAGTCTCAGAGGGAAGGAGGCATCTCAGCTCAGGCTGTCCCACCATGAGGCTGCAGTCCTGGGTCCAAGAAGGTTCAGCGGTTCCTTGAAAGCAGGCAGTGGTCAGAGAGGCCAAGGGAGGCCCACATTCCTTCCTCCCACATCTTGGTCCTGTCCTTTTCCTTACCAGCAAGTACGCTTCACAAGGTAACTCTCCGTAACCACTATGCCCATGGCCACCTGCCACCAGAATGAACGCATTGGAACTGCCTGCCTCTTTGCATCGCCTGCTGGAGAGTGCAAGCAGGAGCATCGTTCCAGCCATGTCTTGGCCATCCCAGGTCTGCGGTTAGGCTGCCAGGGGTCAGGGAGAGTGACCTCTGGCTTCCGGAGCAGAAGACAAGGTCCATTTCTGTATTTTAAGCCGCACTCAAGGATATGTTTCATATTTATTTTTTTGAGAGAGATGGAAAGGAAGAGAAAAAGAAAAACATCAATGTGAGAGAGAAACATCGATGGGTCGTCTCCCATATGCTCCCCGACTGAGAATGGACTCACAAGCTTGGTACATACCCTGACTGGGTATCGAACCCACAACCTTTCAGTATCCGGGACAATCCTCCAACTGACTGAGCCACCCAGCCAGAGTAAGGCCCATTTCTTGCCGAGAGTCATACAATGGCAGCATCTCCAACACTGGAAGGGGCTCAGATGCTGAACTGACAAAATCAAGAAAATGTCCATTACCCCTGCTACTTAGAGACATCCACGCTTCCCAAGAGAGGGCGCTCCCTTTGACACATACAGCTCTGCTTCTCCTTACTCTTGTCAACATCACACCATCCTCTCCAATCGGCTGACCTATGCCTTCCTTGTTCTTTTTCACCAAACAAATGACGTGTATTCTCCAGAAATAACCAATCCAATTAAACTTGACTGGACCTGAAGGTCAGTAAATTACCCGTGGGCTAAACTCACCCCTTCTGGAGCCGAGCTGGAGGTGTGACACAGTGGGTACTGATCCTGGAGCTCCCCTCGATAAAAATACAGTCCCGCAAAGTACTGTGCCTGGAGCAGACTTGCCACGGTGGCGAGACTCACCACTGTCACTAGCAGGAAAGCTCCAGGACAGCAGCATGCAATAAAACAGCCCAGCAAATCAAATAATCAGTTCCTTTAATGCTACGAAACACTGTAAACAGTGCTGCTTGGAGTCCGAACTAACCTCACAGATTGAATTTAGAAACTGGCAAAGAATGTGCTCTTCTGTTTCCTTACATAAAATATAGCCACTAGGGAAAGGGTATAATTCCAGGGTAAACCTGCTGGGGTAACTAGGAAGAAAAGATAAAAATGGAACGGACAGTCCCTGTTCCAGCTCACAGCCTGCCTATAGCGGGTAAATGCATGTTGACAGGAAGACAGGCAGCGCGCAGACACTTCTGAAAGCATGTGCTAGGCTCTATGGTCACTGCGATGACTCCCACCGGTACCCAGATCCATCATGCATCCCACTGTGTCCTGCTTGCTGACATTGCAGACTAGCCAGTGGGAGGTGCAGGCAGGAAATCTTTGCGAGTGATGGGACAGCTACCCTGTGATTTCCCTCACACACCCTCCCTGCTTCACTGGGGCTCTGGCTTATGAAGAGGCCTGGGTCCACGACACCAACTCTGACCTTGAGGGTGGCAATGGCTCCCACCATGGCTAGTCCACCATGGCTAGTCCCCGGGGGTCTCAGCATCTTTCGGTCCCAACCATGGCTCTGTATATAGGCCCCTCCTGAATTTCTTTAAAATTATACCTTTGCTAGGGTGTTGTGTCTTGCTAAGACCCTAATTCATTCAGGATCTAACAGTGGGCACCCCCAGATCTACCTTACCAACAAGGGCAGTGAGTGAGCAAACTCCCAGAAAAACACAGGCTAAAATGATGAAAGCTCCATCACCCAATCAATTGAGCCTTTACTAAGATGTTCACCAAAATCTATTGGGACAGTAGAGAGGGGAAGTGGATGTGCAAAGGGAATGTTGACTCCAATTCAGCCTCACACCCCAACCATGTGGACTGAGGTTGGGCTCTTCAGAATAAGTTTGGGGTAATGGAGACTAGAGTAACATGTGGCCAGTGCAGAGCTGTGGTAGCTGGAAGAGAGGTTCTTTGCAGAAACATGAGTTTGCATTGTCATATCTCAAAGGTTTATGATGACCTCTGTTGGGTGTGAGATTTATAATTTCAAAAAGAAACCTGAAGTAAACAAGAAGGTGCAAGTGTCCATTTAAGCAAAGAATGAATCATGCATGAGCAGGAGCCCAGTTCTTAAAGTCACTAAGTCTAATTCTAAAGCGTAGGCTTACAATTAGTAGCTACAATCCGGTACACTGACAGCATCTGATGGGGGGGGGGGGGGGGGGGGA